CGCCTGTGAAATATCTGGGCGTGTACACACCATTGCGTACATCAAACTGCCAACTGCACTAGCATAAGGAACACGCTCCATGTGTGCCTTATCTTCCGCTGTAGTGGGAGATTGTTTACCTGAGAGTCTGAAGTGTGGAGCCAATGGAGTCACCACCGACTTTGCACTTTTCATCCCGAACCTCGCGATCACCCGCTCTATGTAGCCCTTCTGACTCAAGAACAATCGCCGATTCGCCCGCTCTCTTCTAATCTCCCTACCCAGTATTTTCTTTGCAGCGCCCATGTCCTTCTTCTCGAACTCATTGCTAAGTTGAGATTTTAGCTTATCTATCTCCACCTTGTTTTTCGATGCAATAAGCATGTCATCCACATACAACAGGAGATAGATATAATCACCTCCACGAAGCTTCCGAATGTAAACACAACAATCATAGTCGCTTCGGGAAAACCCATGCTTCAGCATGAAGGAGTCAAATCGCTTGTACCACTACCGAAGTTCTCCTCCGGGAGAAAAGCTCGTTGGTTTGAAGCTGCTCGGGAAGCCCACGAAGCTCTCAACCCAACTGACGCTGAAGTTGCGTCAAATGAAGTTCCACCGACCTCCAATCAGGTCAACCCAACTCCCGCCAACGCCTCCACTGTTCAGGGCGTTGTGACTCTCTCAAAGAGAGCCCGCCAGAGGCGTCGTCAACGCCTTGCGCGGCAACTCGCTAAGGCGATGGAGTCTACGGACGGATTCCGCTACCACGCGGAGTTGAAGAACAGAAAAGGCAAACAGCCTCAACCACCAATGAACGGCGACTCTTCCAAACCACCAAAGAAAGAATGGGTCCGCGTCAAACGGAACCGTTCGACGCTCGAGGAGCGCATTCGCAAGCGCCGCGCCTTAGCCACTAGCCTCGCCTTGTACCTTGTTCCACCGAGCTCTGAAGGATCTTCCTTTCTTTTATACACCCACTTACAACCAATAGCTTTTCTTCCTATGGGCAATGGGACCACCTCCCATGTTTGATTCTTCCGGAGAGATTCCATCTCCTTCTCCATCGCAGCCAACCAACTCTCACTATTCTTGTCTCGAATAGCTTCCTTGAAGGAGACCGGCTCATCTTCCTCCACCGAGAGTGCGTATTCAACCAAATTAACATGCCCATAGTGCTTCAGGGGTTGATCAGCCCCCAGCTTCTGTACCTGCTTGTATACTCGCCTTGGCCTAGTGGAAGCCAAGCTATCATCGAGCTGCTGTTGTTGTAGTGCATGTGTATTCTCCTGCTGAACCTCCTCCTGTTCAAGCTCATCAGAGATCGATTCACAATATAGCAAGCTGTAGCAATCGACTCTGCCCACCATTCTTTGCCCAAACCAGCATATGATCGCATACTCACTGCTTTCTCCCGCAGTGTTCGGTTCAGTCTTTCTGCGACCCCATTCTGCTGTGGTGTAGATCTAACTGTCCAGTGTCTAGCAATGCCCTCCTGATCACAGAACTCCTTGAAGGCACCATTTGTGTACTTTGTACCGTTGTCAGATCTCAGCGTCTTCAATTTCTTTCCCGTCCTGTTCTCAACCATCGCCTTCCACTTCTTGAATGTCTCAAATACCTCATTCTTATGCTTCAGGAAATAAACCCAAGCATACCTCGAATGATCATCTATGAATGAGACAAAATATTTAGAACCACCCTTGGAAGTTATCGAAGCCGGACCCTAAACATCTGTGTGCACATAATCTAGTATCCCTCTGCTCTTGTGATTGCTTCTCAGGAATTGAACCCTGTGCGCCTTTCCATACACACAGTCCTCGCGAAAATCCATGCAAGGCTTTTTCAGATTCTTCAGCAAACCCTCCTTACCAAGCAGATCCAGACCCTTCTCTGACATGTGCCCAAGCCGCCTATGCCATAACCGTGTGTGCTCACATGGGTCTCCACCACTTCCTTCAGCTCCAACTGCTGCATCTCCCGTCACCGTCGTACCCGAGAGAGTATATAGATTACCGTGACGAACACCCTTCATCACTGTTAAGGAACCCCGAACAACCCTCTTCACTCTGTTCTCTGTTATAATCTTGCAACCCCTGGAGTCCAAAGCTCCGACTGAGATGAGATTCTTCCGCAAGCCGGGAACGTGTCGTACGTCCGTTAGGGTTCGAACCACTCCGTCATGCATCTTGATTTTGATATCACCTAGCCCCACCGTTTTACAAGCATGGTTGTTCCCCATCAATACGGTTCCACCATCAATGCTCCTGTAGGTAGTAAACCACTTCCTGTTTGGACACATGTGGTAAGAGCAACCAGAATCAAGAATCCACTTCCCGGAGGTATCCTCGCCATCCGTGACGACATAACATTCCTTATCGCTCCCATCCTCTGAAGCGTAGCTCGCCTCTTCCTTGCCTTCTCGTCTTTCAGTCTTGTTGTTGTTCTTTTTCCCACCTACTCTCTTGTTAGGATAATCGACTTTGAAATGCCCAACTTCGCCGCATTTGAAACACGCTCGTCCCGCAAGAGGTCTCGATTTAGATCTAGACTTTCCTCCCTTGCCTTTTCCTCTCTCATTGCCTCTTCCTCTGGCAAACAATCCCTGGGCTTGTTCCTTGTTACCACCAGTGGCCATATCACTAGTTGCAATTTTTCGAAGATCATCCGCTAGAAGCGCCGTTCTAGTGTCATCCATCGATAAATTTTCACCCACAAGCATCAGTGTTTGCACCAGATTCTCATAAGACTTCGGCAGAGATAGAAGTAGTAGAAGCGTCTGATCCTCGTCTTCCACTGTCTCCTCAATGTCTTTCAAGTCCGATATGATCCTATCGAACTTGTTGATGTACTCCCGGATTGACGAGCCCTCGTCCATCTTGCAAGTATACAATTTGGATTTTAAATAGATCCGGTTCGTTAGACTCTTCGTCATGAAGGTGCTTTCTAACTTCAACCACACGCCCGCAGCCAGCCCTCCTCCATCTTGCAAGTATACAATTTGGATTTTAAAAAGATCCGGTTCGTTAGACTCTTCGTCATGAAGGTACTTTCCAACTTCAACCACACGCCCGCAGCCGTTTCCTCCCCGTCCACCAAGAAAGCTACATCCCTCTCAAGACATAGGATAATCGACGCTCGTGCTTTCAGATCCAGCTCCTCCCAATCCTCATCAGACATATTTTTATGCTTCTCTCTTCCAGCCAAAGCCTTGTGCAACTTTTGCGAAATCAGCGAATTTTTCATCTGCATCCTCCAATAAGAAAAATCATTTTTTCCCATTGAATTTTTCAATCTCGTATTTTCCAATTTTATTTGTTTTATTTGTAGAAGCCATTTACCGCTTGTATTATGTCAATCCGCTTCTCTCAGGAATTTTTAACAATTTCTTTGTGTTTGACCACACAATATTCAACCACCACCTCAGATCAGAAATTTTACCACCTCCAGTTTGAATAAGGCTCTGATACCAATTGTTGGGGCGAAGAGAGTCACGCCCACCGCCGCGGAAGCGATATCACCTGAGAGAGAGCCCTGGCCTTTTATTGTCACAAAAGCACAAGTCAGCCTCTATATTCTTGTTTCTCAAAGGAAACGAGAATAGATAGTGAAATTCTTATTTCTCAAAGGAAACAAGAATCGAAAGTGATATATTTCATCAAAGTGAAATATACACTCTTCCTCTCATCAGCTTTAAGACCGAATATTGAGGGAACCTACAAGCCATGACAACTCACAGCTAAAACAAATACAAACACGAGATTTACGTGGTTCGGCTAACTAGCCTATGTCCATGGGAGGGGGGTTTTTTACTATGAGGAAAAATACCAAACTTTACAAGTTCTCTCTTCCTCTCTTTCTTTTCTCTCAAAAGAAATCTACATACCCACTTATTTTCCCCACACTTTAACTCCTCCACCCCTTCACTATTTATAGGAAACTAAAGGGGGGAGGGGCGGGGCGGGGTCGGTCCGGATGAATTTGGCGGAAGCGGAAAGATATTTCGCGGGAGAAAGAGGCGCGGCGGGAGCTGCGAATCGATGCGCGGTGTGAGGCGCTGGGCTGCCGAGGCTGCGGGAGCGTAGTCGCGCGCAAGGAAGAGAAGAGGCGGGCTGCTCTTTGCTGCGTGGTGTGGGGCCAGACAAACCCAAGTGGGTGGGCCCCACACTCCATCACATTTTACTTACAAGTTGAACTTATTTTCAAGTTACTTCCCTTATATTTAACTGAACAAAGTGTTTTCAATTATGTGAAACTGGTCTAAGAACAAAACTTAATGACATCATGATTTCACTAGCAGGCTTGCAACTGTCCATGTTCCCACTAAGATGTCTTAATTTTTATTCATATAATCCCATCCTTAGAATTTATATCAAAGAAGAAGGGTTAAAGAAAACATTAAGTACATTAGCAGTTTGCAATCAACTTAAGAAAACAAGCAATTTATTTTCAATATAGGGTTAATTGCAAATAGACCCCCTATAGTATCATTCAACTGCGAATAGACCCCATATAGTTCTATTTGTGCGAGTAGATCCCCCGTAGTATTGGCCCAAGTATGAATACACATCGTTAGTGATATTTTTGGACTCTCTAATTAAAAGTAAAAAAAATTGCAATTGGGGGGTTTATCCTCTCCAATAAAACTATAGACGGTCTATCCGCCTCATCAAAACATTTTTAACGATTTTATCTTTCCTCACCAATAGAACTATAGAGGGTCTATCCGCCTATTCAAACCCTTTTTAACAATTTTTAGAGTCAAAAGAAATATAATCAGAGGGTCTATTCCGACAAGTAGAACTACATGTGGTCTATCTACAATTGGGTGAGACTACAGACGGTCTATCTGCCTCCTCAAAAACTTATTAATGATTTTAAGAGTGAAAAGAAATTTAATGGTGGTCTATTCGCACAAATAGAACGTCATGTGGTCTACCAGCAATTGGTGACATTACAGAAGGTCTATTTGCAATTAACCCTTCAGTATAAGAACTCTTTAACTTTCCTCATCTCAAGATATCTATAAGACAGACACAGAATCAGCCATCAGCATGATCACAACATAGGAGTATATGAGGCTTTTGATACTTACTTACTATGCAAAGAAAACATAAACATACATTTTTTTCAACATAAATTGATTAAAGCACACCAAGAGGAACACAACATGGCTCCTAAAATCAAAAGAAAGACCATATTGAAGAGTGGTTACCTTTGATTGTAGAAGACCAGGGACCAAAGAATTTTAGGCCCCTCTTCTTCCTGTCATAGGGATGAACAGCTTATCAAAGACTCTAGCTTTTTCTTTTTCTTTTTGAGAGCAAAGCTGATAATTTTGGACAAAAGGTGGTCTGCTTATATATCAGCAGAGATACTTTTGTGACAGGAACAAATATCATAGACTCCTCTTTTTTAAGATAATAGTCGTATTCAATCCCCTTCATTGAATTTTCTTATTGTTAATTTTTACCTCCAAACCTCGACACAAATAGTTTTCAATGGAGCTTAGTTTCTTGTGAGTTTTAAGTATTTGAAGCCGATGTACACTGACTAGGTCAAAGGTCCAGAAGAGGCCAAGGGAATGTTGACAATTTCATAAAAGGCACACGCACTTCAAATTTTTATAGATTTTGGGAATTAAAAGGAAAAAATTGAATGAAAAATAGTTTTAGATAAGGTATCTAATCTTTTTATCATTAACCTAGAATTCTGCATTCAGGCATCTAAAGAGCTAGACGCAGTTTACAAAACAAATTATCTCGTTAATGAACATAGATGAGGGAGGTTTTTGAAAAACAGGATATACATGAAGGGGGGTTCTTATAATTTCGCTTGTTTACAATATGTCAATTTAAATATCTTAGGCTTGTAGGAGTCAAAATTTGTTACTCTAGATCACAGTGGAACAACATTATACTGTACCAAGATTTGCCCATCATGCATGAATGGTGGTCTAATAGCCTTTATTTGTTCTCATATGCATTGTAGAGGATAGCCCATGTAAGTTTAGATTCGTTAAGATTTAAGAGTCACCTATATTTGGGCTCTAAGCAAATCATCATCAAGACTGGTTTAACGAATTAATGTAGTAGTAGCCTGCAGAACACAGTGTAGTACCTCATTTTGGAGAGACTTCTCTAATTTGACTGCGATGTACACTGACTTGGTCCATAAGAGGCCAAGGGAGTGATGAAAATTTAGTTAAGGAAGTCATTGAAAAGTTCATGGTTCAAAGATTGAATATGGGAAGGCACTTGGATTTGTAGATGTAGGGATATAAGACTGAAGCAGAGGGATTATATTACTATTCTTATTTCTTCGAATATTGATAATTTTTTCAGGCCGGTTTTTTTGATAACTTACTGCAGAAAATATATATTTTTAAAATTTCTATTACTTTCGTAAGGCTTGAATCTGTTCTGTTTATACCTCTATTAGTGCAACATGAGGTTTTTAATTTTTATAAACTATTAGTCTTGAGAAAAATTCATATTGAGATTCTCTTGACTTGTTAATAAAACTATGGAATAATGCCCACATGCAACTTATGTCATTTGATACCCAATTACAGTTGCTCCTTTAGCAAGCGAAGGTAAGTGGTTGTACTTTCAATTTGGAAAAATTTTAGTAGAAGCATAAACAAAGCGACATGCCATTTCAATAATATAAATATCATGCTTGATATCATCACTGTGACAACGATAGCTTATATTTCTTGATATAGATTCATACTTGTATTTACTTATATTTTTCTAACATCCATTTGACTAATTGCATCCTGATCAAGTCTTATGTTTTCACAGGCACCTGCTCTGTATTGACTTGAGATTAGAGCCAATTCTTTTGACATGTGATACTAGTCGCCCCTCTTTTAATATGACATGTAAAGTATATTGGGTTTTTGTTTGTTTCTTTAGTATTCTTGTTAGAGTATCAACCATAAGGTTTTAGAAAGCCAAGCTTATGGTACTAGTTATAACTTAGAAGATCTTGAACAGTCTACTGATGACTGATAATAGCCAGGGCTTATACAATTATATACCCGCCTCATTTAGTTGGATTTTAAGCATGGTATCTAATCCAGCCGAAACAATTCAATATGGATGTTAGAACATAAAACAATAACCCTCAACCCTCACCACAACTTTGGAGATCTATGTAGTGCCAGAGAGTCTTTAAGATGGTATTAGAGAAACCAAGGTTCGAATCTTACTGGTCACGAATTTCTATAGCTGATTTAAAAAAATCAATGAATAGAAATCTTGTGATCAAACTGATTTATCCCCGTGAAAAGTGAATGTTCATGGGATCAAAGGTTTTCTGTATACATTAAAAATAAATGCAATCTATTTACATCAATCAAATTCAATCATCTATTGAAATAATAGGAAAACTCCACAAATGGCGAAAAATATGCTGAAGATCTATCCATCTTTTATTCAAAACTGTCAGCCTGAAGAAAGAAGGTGATCTTTCTTATGGCCTCGCATCGGCTGCAAGCTCATCATCATCATCTTCTGTCTGCATCACCAGCGGTGATGGTGGTGACATAGCAGGAACCTTCGATAGAGCGTGAGCAACCACTGACAATTCTCTCGGTCTCCCCTCATAAGAATCAACTGTCGTCAAATTTCCTTCCCTGGGCAAAGGAACCAGTACAAATTTCCCTTCCTCATCAGTAATTTTCCTGTAAAATCCATCGCTTTCTATATCGTAGAAATTCGCAGTCCTGACCTCTTGAGCCAAAGAACAAGACCAGCAAAACAGCCAATTTGCAGAATCCGTTATAAACGGATAACCACAGCAGAACGGATTCCCTGGTAAGTTGAACTTTTTTCGCATCTCAGCCCTCCAGTATCCTCCATATAACAACCCGAGAAAAGAGCAAACAGCTCCTACGATGGCAATAATGAGCCTGACAGTATCATCATCCACATTGTTCGCTGATATCGCAAATATCCAAAATGGCGACATGCAAAGAAGCACGAAACTGATTATATGCACATACATATTGCCAAACCCTAGCCTCTCCATGTTCCATCCAAAAACACAACAGGTACAGAAACAGGACAGGAAAGCTCCGGTGATATCATCCCAGCAATCAAATAAGCCTCCAATCCATTTCGGCGTTGTGATCATAATCTTTTTATCGCTCATTTCCACCTCTTTTCCCACCTCTTGTACCTGAGTCTGAGACTCCTCGTCAGTTCTAGTTTCGGTAATTTCCTTTGCCAGAGGACCATAGTAAGTGTACCAGGCGGCTAGGATCGGTGCCAGGGCTCCGATCACAATACAGACGTATTGAGGCCATTCTGGACGATTAAATCTCGACCATCCCCAAAAAAGCGCACAATATACATATTGAGCTATGCACGTGAGGTGCAGCAACAACACAACAATCAGAATGTGGGCCCGCTCATTAGGTCTTCGAAGGCCATTCTTCGAATAAGCCTTTCTTGCAGCTACTTGATCGTTAGGTCTCCAACGGAGAACTAGTACTAAATGGTGAAAGATCAAGGGATGTTGATAAATGCACATAATGTTGAAGAGAGCATTGACGACTTGGTTGATGACTTCCTCCCATTTGTCTCGTTGATCTTTATTGGGCATTACTCCGTTTAATGCTCCGATCATGAAGAGACCGACCCAAACAATGCCAATAGCACAGAGAACTACCCAGATGAAGAGAGCAACATTGGCTGGGTCCTTTATCCATTTCTTGAAGTATTTGAGGAGAGAGCTCCAGCTGATTTTTCTGATGAAAGGAACATGAAATCTTCGTTGCTCTGAGTGATTTGTTGTTGGTCGAGCTCTTAGGAAATCGAAGAAGCGTTTCTTTCGATGATTGTTATTAGGCATGAGGCCATTTTCGATGGATGGGATGTATACTGGGATTGAGTCGTTGAGGTTTCTATCGGTATTGGACCCGTTCAGTTCAATTCCTTGAAATTCAATTCTAGTTTCAGTAGGAGCTGTTCTGTGTTTGTTGAAACTGACTGTTTTCTGAATCTCACCGTTATGTTCACAGTTTTCGTTTGAACCCATTTTTGCTTCTTGGTTCTGAATCAGTATTGCCTGAAATCAACTAAGTATTAGTACCTGAGAGTACCCTGAAAAACTTACGTCATACAAACTTGACAATACTAGGATCTGAGATGTGCAGATAAGTTTTGATGGCATTATATGTGCCATCACTTCTTGTTTTGCAGTGATGAATTTGATTAGAAATTGTGCATAATTACCGGCATAGAAAAATTTTCATGTTATGGTCTCAAAAATGTTGCATTGTTACACCCCTATGTAAAGACAGCAGATATGCATCTCTCTTCCCACATAGTTTTAAGTATTTTGTTGGAAAATACAAAATAGTTGATCATTGTGTTTAGATTTGCATATATTTACATTTAGAACTTTTTTCCAAGTGGTTTCCTATCTATAGAAGTGGTCTAAGAATACAAACCATTGGCATCATAACTTCACTTGCAAGTTTTCTAGTAATTGTCCATTTTCACTCTAATTTATCTTAATTCTAATTCATATAATCCCATTCTTGGAATTTATATCAAAGAACAAAAATTATAAAACATTAGTTGGGGATGTTAGCAATTTGAATCAACATAGGAACAACAGCAAAATTGATCAATTTATTCCAGTATAAGAATTTCTCAAAGTTTTCTAGAAGATCAAAATAAGGAAGAGATTGAAGAGTGGGTACCTTTGATTATAGAAGATGAGAGACGAAAGAATTTTAGGCCTTCCTTCTTCCGCTCAAAGGGATGAAGAGCTTAGCAAACAACGGAACTCATTTTGTGAGAGGAAAGATGTTAACTTTTTAGAAAAGGGGCTCTGCTTATATATCAGCAGAGTTCTCTTTTTAAAGAGAGTAGTTCTGTTCAACTCTCTTCATTAAATTTTCTTTTTGTTATAATAACAAACATCAAAATTGACTTGACATAAATAGTTTTCAACGGAGCTTAGTTTCTTGCGAGTTTAAATACTTGATTTTGATGTACACTGACTTGGTCCAGTAGAGGCCAAGGGAATGTTGACAAATTTGCCAAAGACACATGCACTTAAAATTTCATAGATTTTGGGAAGAAAGAAAATTGAGTGAAAACTTAGTTTGGACATCTAATTTTATTATCATCCGACCTAGAGTTCTGCATGATTACATCTGGGGTTTCTTGTAATTTCCCCTGTTTACTATGTGTCAGTTAAAATTTTTGAGGTTTGCATGAGACCAATTTGTTCCTCCCGATCACAGTGGAACAACTACTGGGCAGAATTAGCTCTGATATTAATTATTAACACAATTAACTCTGATGCCAATTGTTAGAACCGGTGCG